CCACTACAGATTACAGAATACATGCCCCAAAATGTATTTTGTAACGTATTCTGAATACTTTGGATTACTTAATATATTGTCATGCTTTAAACAACTACATGAATGTACTATTGCTGTTTGATTTATTACTATTACTGAAGGCTACTCGCCATACCAATACCAACTAGATTTTTAAATCTTAATATAAAATGAGTAACAGTAGGGTGGACATTAGGTAAGGCTGCACTTTATGGAGCGATCTCGTATAGAAAACTATTCCATGCGTATATAAAACAGGTCTCCGAACCATAGTAAAGGGACCTCTGGCTAATACGTTGGGTTCTGTATCGAGCTTGTTGCCGAAAACTAGCTTTACTTTGTTGTCTGGATCACATTTGCTAGCGAGAGACAGAGAGAGGCGTTGAAAGGCTGCTCCAACGGAACTTATTGTTTTCGGAGGAAAACACGAACACGGTGTACAGTCGAGTCTTAATAGCTTACTTACAACTGGGCTCGTCAGGCACTCTTCTTGGCTGCAGTGGTTATTATTATATTTACATGCCTCCATCTCCACATGCTTTACATGCTTCTGGTCGGTCATTTTTTGAATAATAATTACAAAAAATATTTCTTCATGTCATTATGCGGGCCGCAAGTAGAGGTGACATAGGCCGCGAGATTTGCCCCATATATACTGTATTCCCATGTATGTTTGCACACGTTTCAGTGAATTTCTGCACCTACTTTCCCATTTTCTAAGTGAAAAATTAAGGCTTTTTCCACAGCACATACCACCAAGTTTTCCGCTATCAGTTTTCCCAACATTTACTGTAAAGGAAGTGACAGAGAGGCGCATTTTATGGGTCGTTATTAGGGTTCATAAAGTAAACATCAGAGTTAAAATGCTGATTAGCAGATGGGAAATGCAGTGGAAAGACGCAAACATTACAGTCCCTTTTCCCTTTCAACCTCTTCCCCAGATATTCAATTGTCTCTCTCACTCTCTCTTAGCTCCTGTCCTTGTTTCTTCATTATCACTCCTCTAACTTTCTTGCCGTCTCCGTGTGCCGGCCCTCCAGGCGGCCAAAGACAGATGTCTGATAGGTTTTCTTAGCAGCAAAAGACTGTGGGTGATGGCTGCTGCAGATGAAGCGGATGACGGGGTCTGGTTCCTTCTTCCCAAATCCCATTTATTTCACAGGAAAGAAAAGCCAAACTTGAATCTGTGTTGTGAACGGATCAATCACATATCAAAACAATCTTAATGGACCCGTCTGGTTAGATAAAGGCTGAATAACAGAGAAATGGCAGAACAACATGTCCTCTTTGTTGACACATGCTCCCATTTGGATTGTCAGATAAGAGTGGCCCAGAGATAAATTTACCTTTGAGAAGCGTGGCTTTGTGGAACTCTGAAGCCCGATTTTGGCCGAATGTGGTTGTAAAATATCATTTTGAAACTGCCGAAGAGAAGTGGTGCACAAATGAATGATGCACTGATTTTGTGTGAGTGTTTATATGCTGCAGCGTGTCAAATAAACCCCGGTGACTACAATATGGTAACTGAATTTTAATCGCTGAATACAGGGGCATGAAAAGCCTTCATAATTTCATCCTTTTCACAGTTTTTCGGTCACATTGTGAGTAAGGAAAGGGGTTTTTTTGAAAGGTGGACAGAGCAGTCCCAGTGGTCAAACACGACCAAAGTGAAGGGTCAACAAGGGTTACTTACGCCCAATTAATCTCTGCACATCTGTGTGTATTTTAGCAGTTGCAGGGGAATTTAGCCTCTGAACTGAGCCACAGAAAACATGTTATGTATCCTCTGTGGCAAAGAAGCCACAGAACAACATGTGACTCAACCATGACAGGAGAGTTTTTCTTTTTCTTTTCTTGTAAGCGTGTTGACATCAAAAACAACTGGCAGCTTATCTTTGGTTTTCTCCAGTACACAGACAGAGTGTTTACAGAATTACCCTCCTAAATTTATTCTTGTCCCTTTGCTCGCTGTTAAAGAAGCAAGAGGAACTTAATTTATCTTGTCCTTAGCCACTGGCTATTATCTAGTGGTGCTGTGTGTATATGTGTGTGAGAGGGAGAGAGTGTCTTTGAATAAATCTTTATGAGGGATTAATATGCGCATACTTAACTGATAATGAAGACTAGACTCAGAGCAGAATGAATAACTATTTAAATTCTGATTTTGAACTTTTGGTCATCTTGCAGTTGCAGAACAAATTCAGGCTGATTGAGCCTGTAATAAGCATGCGTTGTAGCAGCTGTTGACTCTCTTTTGTGCAATCAATTATTTTGCACCTCTTGAATAAAATGTTTAAAACTTGGAAATACAAAAAGAAAAAAGTGCTTTTAAATGCATTGGTAAAATCTAGCAAATTAAGGCACGCTTTAGGGCAGCAGCTGAATTTGTGTGATACTCAAGAAACCCAGCTGCTCTTGGGCCAAGCATATGGTAGTGGTGGGTAGCCCCTGGGTATTTTTGTGTTTGTGTTTAACCTTCACTCACTGTAGCTGCTCTCACAGTCCTTTGGCTGTTTGTGCAAATGCACCATTAGCTAACAGACCTCACTAGGTTGGAAGTTCTGGGCTTCAGTTTCTTGGGAAATAAAAATGGTAAACATCACAACATCACTCAGATAATTTCCAACTACATAGAAAATTTAAACAAACACTTCAAATTAAGGAAAAGAAAACTAATCAGGTTTTATGTTATACTTAAAAAAAGGTTGCTCTGTTAAGAAGGATTTTTAATGTGCATGCTTTCTTTTTCTAAACCAATGAATAAATCCCCTTTTTAAAAGACACAGGCTGATTTTGTGAGAGCTCAGAGAGCAAATCTGGGGTTTTTTCAGCAAGCTAACCGTCTGTTCACAAGGTTGTCTCTACCCCCTTTAGGTTATTGCCATCCCTAACAGCATTAGTACTATTTGGCATCGCTTCAGAGTTGGGGCTTGCTGGTCTGTGTAGCTGGCCTCTCTGTCTAGGACTAGTACTGTTAAGGGCTCATCGTGCAACCCACTAATCTACTTAAACCTTCATGGTGCATCTGTTTGTGTGCGTGTGCGTGTTCATGTCCTGGAGTATCTCAGTGAGTTCTTTAGGAATGTTTTGACCTGAAGAGCTGAACAAGGAACAAAATGTAAACACTTGTTTTTATTTTTTAATAATGAAGCCATTGTAAAAGCACTGTAGCAGGTAAAGTTGGACATTAATCAGTAGTCTGAGAGATCCATTACCACTGGCTTACTTTAATAATGTGTCTGATCTCATGGTGGCCCACTCATTTACCCGGCCACGTGTTAAGTAACACAACACTTTGCCAAAACTTTCTGTGTCACTAACTGAAGGCTGACTAAAAGCATGGAGCAGTATTTTTCAAAATCTGAAGCTTTGGAACAATTCAGATGTTTAAATTAAAGTGAATACATAAAATATGTTCCAACAACAGTTGTGCATCACACACAACTGTTGCACAAATACATTTGTGTCCTCAAACACTGCAGCACGATTATGTGCTCAGCCCCAGCACATTACCAGTGTGTGAATGTGTGTGTGAATGGGTGGATGACTGGTTGTGTAAAGCGCTTTGGGGTCCTTAGGGACTAGAAAAGTGCTATACAAATACAGGCCATTTACCATTAGGAGAAGTTAAATAATTACAAGGTAAGTACAGACTTTCAAGCTTTATTTCAGAACTTCCTGCCGGCTATGATCGACTGCAAGACGGATGCAGCCAATGTGACTATAGTAGACTATACTAGAATATTAACCATGAAAACTGGAAAATGCAGTTACATTAATCACACAGCAAGACATATTATTTGCATTGCAGAATCTGCAAAAGCAACCAAAGCCACAGGCAAAGCTGACCCAGCCATTTTAGTGACTTAGTTTAGCTGAAGGCTAGCAAACAGCTAGCAGCCTATTCAAAACCCACTTGTCATTCAAACTGACTTCACATGCACCACTTTAAGGTCTAATACAGTTGGAGTTATTAAAAAATTGCTGCAAATGGTGTCATTTTGGGATTTTTAACATGTGTAGCAGTCCCCCAGACCAAGGAAGGAATAGAGAGAGCCTTGATGGGTGCAGTGTTTTTACTTCCATTCAGAATCTAACAGTGCTGAGGTGCACCATAAAAACTAAACAGAAAAAACAAAACACATCTTCTTAGATGCTTATTATTAATATAAATCAACGAAATATCAACTTAGCAATTAAAACACGTACCTCGCGCCACCTTCTAAGGGCTGCAATGTGTTAATTCAGTCACAGTCTGGTATCACGCCGCTTTACCCTTCATTAAGAGCTGCATTCTGGCACACATGCACCACAAGTCCTCGAATTTCCGGTCTTAGCTGGAAGTGCAGCTTGTCGGTGACTAAGCGCCAGAGCCCTCTACTGGACACTACAAGTAATTATATAGGCTTATAGCAATAAACAAAAACAGATGTTTACAATATGAGTCTAATAGAGAATAACTTTTGGAGCAGGCCTCAAGTGGCCGTTTTCAGCACTGCAGTTTGCTCAGCCTTGCATGCTGTGATTCTGTTACTGCTCATCTAATTTAACGTGAAATAATCATCAGCCCTCGCCTCCCACACTGTTCAGTCACAGGAGAGTGTGATCAATACATGTGGACATGAGTGGGCATGCAGTTGCAGCTTGAAAAAGTGTAATAGTATGATTATTAATAAGTGAGCACTTGCATGCAGATGATGTGGTGATGACACTGTAGACTACCACTGTGGCTTAATCTGTATCACTGCAACTTAAAAGTTTCACAATGCCAGACTGTGGAGTTTACAAGGACCCTCGACAAAACCATAAGAAAACAGGCCATCGACACATATAATCTCATTTGAACCCCTGCTTTGTGCTTCCAACTCTCCAGTGAGCATTTGCTGCCTAGCACCCACTCTACTCAGCAGGGATTAGGCACACTAAGACACACTTGAGCTCACATACACACAAACATACTACACTAATGAAATACCCTCTACCTGAGCCTCAACAAGAGGTTGTAGCGATACACACAGCATGAGCATGGGGACCTTTCTTTTTTTTAAAAATGTAACACAAAGGGAGAGAGAGAGAGCGAGAGAGCAGTCTAACCTCTCTGTACAAAGGAGATCTGATCGACCCTCATGAGTGTGGTGAGTGCATTTGGCCATATTCTAACAGTACCTGTTGTTGTTTGATGTTCCTCCACTGAGGATTCCAGCATTTGTGCGGCTGTGCTGTGGGTGTATGCGCCTGCTTGTATGTTTGTGTGTGTATATATCAAAGTTTTGTGAACAATGCAGCAATCATTTGTTTTTTCCTTGCAGTAGTGACTCCCTGTGCCTCGCCGGTTAAATTGGAAACATTCAGGCAAACATGGTTGGTTTTTATTCACATCCCTGTGTAGACTAGCATGCGTTACACTGAACCTCATGGTTGTAGACGGTCACATGCATTGCTCAGTGTGCAGCATGCGAAACATAACAGAGGTTTAACACTGCACACTTAACCTGCTACTGTGTATCTCACTGACTCAGCAGTTATTTGTATTTTGGGCTCTTGGCTTTTTAATGCCCAGTGGTGCAGGGGAGAAACCCAGCCCTCATGGCATTCGTATTCATATTTAAATTTATTTGTCTCTGCTGTGTGTTTTTCCATTAGCTGTCAGTTTTACATAAAGTAGTAAAGTCACTGTTACAGTGCAGGCCTTGCATGTTTTTGACAGCTACACACTTTTTGGTCTTAAGGCTTTGTGACAAGGTTATTCGGTGACGTGTACCGAATCCCTGTCACAATACCAGAAATGTAGTACCAGTGGACCAGTTACGTGATTCTTGATACCCAATTTGATTCGATATGCAGGATACTTCCAAAGCAGACACGGCCTTAGCAGCGTTTTCACAGCACCTGCACTAATCTTCCACCTGTAGTTTTTCCTCTTATTATTGTTCTTGTATTTCTCATCATTTTCTTCTTGTTCTTTTTTCATGTTCTTATTCTTCATCTTGTGCCTTTTCCTCTTCCTCACCTTCTTCTTCCCAACTTTTTTGCTCTTCTTGTTGTTTTTTGTCTGAAGACTTCCCACCTCATTAGCTATGCTATGGACCAAACAAAAACAAGTACTCAGTATTTTGGTGTCGAATCTGTCTGGTGACATCTCCACAAGTAACCTTTAGGATTCCTACACAACAGTGTAGTCTGTCATTTGTTTTGTGATGCAGTTTTGAAACTAGATTGTGTGTCTGAAAAAAATGATAAAAGCGCGTTCCTACTTCCGGAGCCTGTCCAGGTGATTGCACCCAATGTGACCGCCTCCCCAGTGTTAACAGTAGGTACGGTGTTATGCAGAGGAGAGTACCAAGTTAAGTACATGCTGACTCTGAGCTTGCTGTGCAGGCGAGCAGTCACTCATGCTGAAGATTCACTCTCCTTCTCACCTCACGTCGCCGTGATAAATGTGCGCATGTTGCAATTTGTGTGGCAGAAATCAAAAGATGGATTAGTGCTTCTACTGACTACACAGGAAGTATGTGCATTTTTAAAAGAAGACGTTTGATTTGGCACATTAAAGACTGAAATGCCTGTCTCTATAGCTCACAATTACATGTTTATATTATTGTTTTACAGAACAGACCTTTTTCTCTTTGCGGTCACAAGCCTAAAGTTTTCACTGGGATACTGGTTACAGTGCAGATTGTTGGTCATTAGCTTTTACTTTCTGTGTTTGAGCCCAAGTGGCAGGCTGTAGGGAATGTTTTCTCAGACATCGCACTGTTTGCAGTGTTAGAGTCTGCTTGGATTTACACAAGAAAACAAGCAGATTGAGGCCAAGTGCAGACTTTGGGGAAAGTTTTCTTTTTTTTCCATCTTTCACATTTGGTTTTTGTCACATGACATGTTGTTGTGGTGCCCTTCGCAGCTCCCTGCAGGCTATGAGTGTCAAAAATTTGATTACATAATAAATGTGCCCCAATTTCAAGCAACATATATAATAGAAAATTAGAAGCAGTTTTTGAAACTTTTCCACTTTTAGTCTCAGAAGAAAATTAGATTGTGGTAATAAAGAAATATTGAGCTTACATTATGAACCACATTGTAATTCAAACATTGTTAGAAACTGCAAAGATTTCATGTTTAATAAATGTAAGTATCATATACCAGACAAACAGTAAGCACTGCAATCTTTTGAGCACAGGATGGATTATGCTCTTTGCTTTTTTCAGGGACCTTCACAGCATACATGTGTGACCTGTAAGGAGGCTGGATTGAGTGTTTGTATGGCTGATGACTGCGGTAACTGTTTAGCACAAAGAGGTATTATGAAGGATCTACCTGGATTAGTGTAAGGCGGTTTAGCTGGCTTCCTGCAGCTTCAAAGGTAGAACTGCAGATACGGTCTCTTCTATTTCCTTTTTTACTTACGAAAATATTTTATGAGTTATGGAAAAAAAGATCTTCTGGGGGGCTTTTTTTAGTCAAAGAAGCTGCTCTCTTTCATCTCTGGCATCAGTATATATGATCCAGTGAATGTAGCTTCAAAGAACAAGTCTATTTCAAAACGAGCTTCAAGACAATGACTTTAAAGGTTACAACATTTTGCAGTATTTTAAAAATCTGAATATTTTTACTGTTCTTGTTGGGGAAACAATGCGTGGAAGTGATGAATTATAGTAATGTGCAAAAGTCTTGAGCCACGACTTCATTTCTTTACACATTTCTATGGAAAAGAGAAACTGGTGGAGTGATTTATTGAAATATGTAAGGGATAAACAGAGTTTGTACAATTCTAATGAGCTTGAAAGTCAATATTTGGTATGACAATCTTTGTTCTTCGGCTCTGGGGAGGCCAATCCATGACTGATTGTGTTCCATCGTATGGTTTTCTATCCAGGTATGCTTTTACTGCATTTCCAGTGTTGTGCTGAAAAATGAAGCTGTTCCCAATCAGATACTTTCCAGATATTATTGTTTGGTGGCTGAAAATCTGATGTTCATAATTTGGACCGGTGTTCATATCTTTGTTTGTAATTCCATCAACTAGCGAACCCCTTTGTTCTGTAAGTCTTCTATTGCTGATAAACGGAACTGTCCAATGATTGTGTGATTTGTATAAAGTATTTTATATGCCAAATAGATGTTGGCACTCATAGTGCCTTAGGGACAACTGTATTTTCCGCACTATAAGGCGCACTTAAAATCCTTTAATTTTCTCAACAATCGACAGTGCACCTTATAATCCTCTGCGGTTTATGTATGAATTCTGGTTGTGCTTACTGACCTCAAACCGATTTTATGTGGTACACGCTGCTCAAAAATCTGTCCAAAAATATTTTAGTACGACTTTGGTGAGCTATGAAGCCGCACCGGTTGATGGATTGTCGGAGCACTACGGCTACCGTAGTCAGGAGCCTCGCGGAGTAATCTGGGTCCAAGCTTAGCTTCAGGTCCCAAAGTCAAATGAGCACTGCGGCAACACTGAGAGTTAAAAATTGTCTAAATTCTTCCATCTTTAATAAAATGATCAGCTTTGTTGCTTTACCAGGTGTAACAAATAAGTTTAACATCCAGGCATCCATGAAAACAGAATGTATTAAATTTAACAGAGTTAGCAGGACGTTAGCTCGCTAGTTTCCACCTAAACATGATATAGCATGTTCTGACTGAGAGATTTCTGAACAAATTAAAACGTACAGCTCTGCTATCACTTCCAACATAAATGAAGGCAGAAAACTAAACAGCAGTGACGTTTGTAGGGTTACTGAAGTTGAACTAGCTGGTATATAATGATGTGCTACGTGAGCGCTAGCGACACAGCTATGTTAGCATAACATAAACACAGTAAAGCTGGAGGATGAACGCCAACTTTTTTTTCCACTCGATAAAACTTAACATGACCATTAACCATTCCTGATGGTTAAGGATAAATCCAATCGCTTGGCAGGATGCTGTAAAGGGACCAAACTTCAGTCAGGACAAGTCTGAGACAACCCATCCACAATATGAGGTTAGTCATTAATATACTGCAACAATACAGTAATAGAGCAGCGAGAGAATTCAACATTAATGAATCAATGGTACAGAAGTGGAGGAAGCAAGAAGAATGAAAGTTTGACTTATCTGACTGTTTTGTTTCTTAATGAACCTTATGATCTGGTGTGCCTTATATATGAAAACAGACCCATACATTAAGAGTGCAGCTTATAATCCAGTGCACCTTATAGTCCGAAAAATATGGTATTTATGTCAAGATAGGTCCCTAAGTAGGAGGAGATAACTTCCAAAATGGTGGTACTAAGACTGGACTGAAAATCTATGAAAAGCAGCCAGTGTCCAAAGAAAAAGGTGAAAGACCTCCAGAAAGCCTGGAGAATTACTGTATTGTCGGTGTCCTGGAAGCGAAATAGAAATGAGGGGTCGCTGAAGAGTTTTGTACATAATATAAATATGTAAGGAAAGGAAAAGAAATTCCAAGGAAAAAGAAGGAAATAATTGTGACCTTTAATCAACGGCCTCTGCTCCCCATAACACATCAAAGCCACGGCAAAATAAAGTGGGAAAGAGTTTTCTTTAATTGTGACTTCGAAAGGCCAAAGGTGCCACTTGTTCACTTCAGATTGCCAATATTGTCCCTGTGATCTTTACCCAAGCGGGAGCTGCTTAATTTGCTGCCTCAGTGCTGCTATAGCAAAACTTGAGTGAGCACACAAACACAGAAACACAGACGCACTTGAAATCTGACACGGCAGAGGAATATCACGGCTCAAACTGACTCTTAAATGTGCACAGTCACACATAAACACACTCATGTAAAAAAATTAAATAAAATCTACCCACATAATGACCATATCAGTTTGAAAAGTTACTCCTCCATTTGCTTTGCAATTCTTTTTTTTTTAGGACACAGGCTTTCACAAAGATCGTACATGAATTATAGAAATTTTTATTGATCTCAAATCTATAAAGTAACCATTGCAATAATTTCAGCTGAGTACGTGTTGCTGTATTGTTAAAGTGCTACCCTGTGGTGTCGAATGTGGGCTGTTTTTCAGACAACATGAGGAGCTTTCCCTCGGGGCTCGAGCAAGTTAATGTGTCTGTCGGTGAAGCTGTCACTGTCACGGCACATCTATAAATCTACAGTTTGCGCTGTCAC